GACACTCAACATGGGCCTGGTCTGATTTTTCTGTTTATGGAGTTTCTGGCAGCTTAGCAAATATGACAAGAGGGACTGGCAACGAGGGTTTGAGGATGTCGTCCCTCACCATGGCGACTGCCAGACATGCAGCCGCACCTCCCGATCCCAGCCCATCACAGCCTCTGCCAATCCTCTGGCTGCTGCAGACGTCACCGGCGGTGCAGTATCCTGGAAATGGATGGGTGCGATCCAGCCGGAGCTGTTACCCGTTAAGGGATGGCATCGGTATCTTTGGCGCGTGCTTGATTACTGAGGACCTACCGGGAAGTGGCTGAAACATAATCGGACCTGAGCCAAAGATGGAGGAGGTGCTCCGGTCTGAGCTCGGCACCTCACCTCAGAGGTATATGTGGTGTTTTGTTTCACCAGCACCAAGGGAAGCACCACTGGAGAGCTTCTGTAATCTCTAGTGATCCTCCTGTCCTGGGTGCCATCCGGACCATGGGAGTCTGTCACCGTGGTAGCACTGCTGCAGCTGCTCCCCTGCGACACAGGGGTGCGGATGTGGATGCAGAGCACAGGCAGAAAACTGGAGAGTTCCCAGTGCAGAACCCTGCGTGAGGCTGCACAGGCTGGCCTGCCAGAGGTAGCTGGTAGTGGCAAGCAGTCAAACCATGCAGAAGGACAGCCAAGCCCATAGTAATGCTGGGGGTTTGTTCTCTTACTACTAGGGGCAAGGATTCGAGGGTTTCATTTGTCACATGCACTGTCAGAGTATAACAGTGAAATGTTATACAGTGAAATGCAAGGTGGTCAGCGCCGCCATAGTGAGAATTTGTGAAAAGCAATAAGACTTCAAATAAAAAAAGGAAACTCAAACATGTGCAACGTCGCTCCTGTAAAGTGCCTGGTGCACAAGTGAGGGGCGAATGTTTAATTACAACTATCAGTTGTAACTGTAACTGACAGAAAATGTGAAAATATTAAGAAAAAACTAAAGTTTAAAGATGAGTTTCGACAGAGAAACCAGGATGGTGTCCAACGACGTCTGTGTCATCTTGGAACCAATTATGAAGATTCTGACAATCGGTGGGCTTTCGTGTTCATTGCGATTCTTCTTAGACTTTAAGAATATTATCTAAATCAAGAATTCTGGGCAGGTGTGAAAGCTGTTGAACACCCACTTGAAACCATCAAAACCAGCATAGTAGAGGATTACCTCCTGAAGCATGTGCTTTTGCATAGTGATTCACCAGTTTTCTTGTCTTGATATTGTATAATAAGAACATTATGTTTTGTGCCCAAGCTCAGAACGAATGCAACATCTGGCAGGCTTGTGGGGAACATCTGTGCAGATGTGGGAGAAAACTCGGCTTAAACGTCTCCTCAAATCGTGTAGGTGACGCCTCAGCATAAGATACAGAGAACTAGCCCCATATCTTCCTGAGTGTCCCGGGCTATTGATTGTGGCTGCCTTTTCTTATGGCCATTCTGACAGTCGCTGGGCTTTCATGTTCATTGTGATTCTTGTTAGACGATAAGAATGTTATATTTTGGACTAAATCGATAATTCTGATGTCAGCCATAGGACAAGTCAGCAGATTGTATTATTCTCCTTCCAGATCCAACTTAGCGGGTTTTAGGCGGGCTGTTCTTGCAATAAATGTTTAACTGACACTTCTGTTCTCACAAAAGGCTGCGGCCGTTCAATGTTCTCCTGCAGCAAAGTGCTTGATGTCAGATAGTGCCTGTGTTAGCGTTTAATGTACGAGCTCCGGTGAACGTGCCAGGTTAATTAAATGCGTATCTCCCCAGTGTAGGGGGACCTAACTACACGTGTTATTGGTTTATCTGCGTGGAGCATTGATTTCGGGTAAAATGTAAGCTGGTCTTGGCAGCACGGTATGTGTTTTTACGGCGGTGATGAAGGACGGCCCTGTGTTCACAGAGATAAGCGCTCGGTGATGCTGTTTGATGTAACATCCGTCTTTGCTGAGTGTGACAGCATGTGCAAAGTGCTGGCCGATTTTGAGCTACGATTCCACACATTCTTGGAGGGGGGTGGGAAGCGATGCGGAGATGGGTTTTCATTACTACCAGAATTGCTCTTAAGGAAAATTTATTGGCTGTGTGCTGGCTTGTGGCTTCAAGCTGAAAAATGCTCTTCTGTCAGTGAGAGGTTCAGGGGGGGGGGGGTCCCCAAGGGGGGGGGGTCCCATGTGTGTATTTCAGGCTTTGGCAGCTGTATATTGAGCACACTCTCGGAAACGGGGCTTCTCTTTATTTTTACTCCTGCACTGTGTGTGGAGTTTGCAGGTTCTACTCACATTCTGTAGAGTCTCCTCCAGGATACTCCTGTTTTCTCCGGCCCAGATACGTGTAGCTGGGTGATTTCGGTGATGGTGACTGTTCCACTGCAGCCGTGTGTTGCATGTGTTGTATGATGGTCATGCCGAGGGGCGGGTTTTCAGCTGTGAGTGTGGGGTGTGGCTGTAGCAGTGGAGGTAACCATGGTAACGCAACAGCGCCATAACGTCCTGCATAGTTAGGGAACTGTAATGGTATCCTATTGGACGCCATCAAGCTGGGATGCTGGGAAGTGGTGCTTCTACTCATCTGCAAGCTCCTCTAAGACAATGCTGTCAGTCGCTGCTACTGACTCTCCCAAAGGGGGCGCCACTGTGCAGACTGGTTTTTATTGTAGCTCACCTTCACTAATTAGGAGTAAGAGAGGTGTTTGCTGGATGTTATGTGCCATTGAGCTCTAAAACGTTCAGTAAAACCTGCGAAAGGCTTTGCCCTAAGAACCAAAAATCACAATGAGGGAACATTTTTATTTTTATTAGCATAACTGCATTCAGCCTGCATTAATGTAACATCTACATTCAGGTCCATTTAAAAGGCCGCTTGTGGATACAAAGCCTCAGTAATCAGTGGGTCCCCAGAGACAAACATGAGAACAAAGCTCAGCCCTTGATGTTGGACGCTTGTGAAATCAAACACCATCCGAAGGCGTTTGAATTACACACTGGAAGCTCTCTCATTCGTTCCACCGCAGCCTTCATATGAGATGGTCCTGCACTGTCACGACACCTCAGTTTTGACAGATAATGTCAGGCTAACCACACATTATGTTACAGCCTTTCCGTATCGATTTGAGAAGTTGATGTGTCAGGAAGGGGAAACCTGTTTCGCCGGCACCCTGCCTGGTCTGTACCTTTGACAGAACCTCTTGCAAACCCTTTGAGTATTTCTCGGGAAGCAAAAGTAAGATATGCTGTATATTTTGGGAACACCCAGGCGGGGTGTGTTAATGGGCGGAGTCTGAGCTGCCTCACATTGAGGGGGAGGGGCCTATGAGTTGGGGGGTGTGGCTATGGATCTGATACCCATGAGCTTTTCATGTCGTTCTCCAGTGTGGCTGCTTTTTTGGCCTTAGGAAACGTCGTGGTCATAAAGGCTGTTTCTTCTCGCCCAGGCTGCTGAGCTTCTCAGAATCTCCTTCATGATTTCTTTAACAGCTTGGCCCGAAGTCCCACAAAACTGTCGATTTTGGCAAAGCATAGGACAGACGTTGTTTGGTTTTTGCCGTCCCTCTCTCGGCTTGGCGCGACCACGGCCCCCTTTGTCATTTCCCTGAGACGGGTGGCCTGGAAAAAAAAAAAAGAAGCCAGCTGACCTGGATGGGGGTGCCATGGAAACGAGGGAGGGGCGCCGGGAGAGCGTGCGGATCCGTGTCGGATGCATCTGCTGCGCTGATCCGGCACCCAGCCGACGGTCATGCATGTGAATTTCCGGCAAAGGCAGACATGTTTTCTCGTGTATGACTGTGTGAAATGGAGAATTTAACTTGCTGACTGGGCATTGAGCTGGGTGGCTGGTTGGGGCATAGAACCGGCCACATAGAGAACCAGAACATAAGGGCGTTAATCTGCGGGCATTTTCTCGCCACCCAGAGTCATTTCCTGTGACATCCTGAGGTGAATAGCCTAGTACTCAGCTGAGGTGCTAAACTGGAGGGGTGGACGGGGGAGGGGGGGGCGGGTGTTTATACCCCTTATATCTGAGACTAGTAACTTGTTTTGAGAAATAGGTTGGTTGGGAAGGCAGAGCCAGTTGTTTCCAGATATTTCACAGAACTAGAGAACGTGAGATTGACTGGCGAGTTAACGAAAGACATACAGGTGACAGGCGGTGGAAGGTGCCGGAACCAGAGCTGTGACAGGCTGCTTTGGGGCAGCTGTGGGGGGGGGGAGGTGCCAGGAGAGATGCTGGAAACGGCATCAGGCTATGGTGACGACAAGCCCCCCTCGCCAGCATAGCTGTCTAAATCCCGCCCCCTGTCACTTGCTGAGGGACCATACAGCTGACGTCAGAGAGAGCGGGGTCCGGGGGGGGGGGCTTGAAGAACCCCTCTTCGGCTCAGTCATGTGGCTGCCCGCCAGTGGCGCTCTGGGGCTGAAGATATTCTGGAAGGTTCTAACTTGTGGGAAAAGCAGTATTTTTAATCTGTTTCAGATCTTTTTCTTCCCAAAGCTGGTGGCAGGCAGCTTTCGAGCCTGAGTGGCTGAATGCGACTCTAACACACATAATAATATCGATAACGGGGACGGGGACACATTTAATCCCACTTGCTGATTTTTTTCATTGTTGAGCCCTTTTAAAAGTGCTTGGTATTTGTAATAATTTCAGTACATTCCAACCTCATGGGCGGCCACGGGACCTTCCTAGCGTTTCCTATTAACTCCACCTGAGGGCAATCAGTTGGCACCGCATCCTGGGTTCCCTGCCTTGTGCCCGTAGTTTCTGAGGCTCTGGACACCTGCGACCAAGCGTCAGGGTGGATTGATTGCTGTATCTCAGTCCATCCCCACCTGCCTGTCTGCCGCTGTCTTCTCCTCACACCGTAGTCGCGGAGCGTAAGCGGTCTCCCAGCTCAGAGTCACACTGCAGATCTCCAGCATGTAGCCTCTGTTTACCAACAGCTCATCTTATCTGCTCTCTCTGCTTTCTTTCAGATGTCACAGCTAAGAAGTCGGTTATAACAGAGGTAAGGGCTGTTCTTCCACAATCCCCCATAATGCTCTCTGCTCTGCCTGGGAGCCTGTTGAGTGTATCTGCACCCCATGGAGCCTTGAGCTGCACTTCCTTGTTTTAGTGTCTGCCGGTTTTAGCATAGTCTCCCTCTGTCCCCCCCCCCCACCAGCTGGTCTCCGCCACTGCTCCAGGGAAGAGGATTGGTCACCGGGGAGTGGATGCGTCGGGGGAGACCACTTACAAGAAGGTGAGGTGCCCCCCCAAACACACACATCTGAACACCAGTGACCTAGACTGTGTGATGATGGAATGGATCACATGGCCAAATCTCCCCTCACAGACCACGTCTTCCGCCCTGAAAGGGGCCATCCAGCTGGGCATCGGGTACACTGTGGGCAACCTGAGCTCCAAACCCGAGAGAGACGTTCTCATGCAAGACTTCTACGTGGTGGAGAGCATCTTCTTCCCCAGGTGACCCAGGGACACACAGTTTCTCTCTGTGACGTCTTCATCATTAGCGACCGCGCTCTGTGTTACAGATAATGTGCTAATGACTTGTAGAGTTATTTGGCCATTTAGTTTTGCTGTCAAAAGCTTCAATAAAAACATGCTAAATTTAAAGGTAGCTGGTAGCTGTTTATAGACATAGCTGCATGATGAACAGGAAGTGACATCAGGTTAACAGGAAGAGAAAGTTTTATATAGAATAATGGAGCGATGCACGAACACAAATTCAATCGTTCCAGAGGCAGGACTGTACAGAGTAGTTATAGTATGAGGGCTAATTTAAAACAGCTGCAGTTGAGCAGGCAAGATGGCCGCTGCTTGTGTCGATGTTCCACTGATGGTCCCGCACTCTCTCCCCCCACCAGTGAGGGCAGCAACCTGACCCCAGCTCACCACTTCCCCGACTTCCGCTTCAAGACCTACGCCCCCGTGGCCTTCCGATACTTCCGGGAGCTCTTCGGCATTCGGCCCGACGACTACCTGGTAAGGGGTCCGTGGAGGGTTACCGGGAGGCGCAGGATGGCCGCACCGTCCTCCCGCTTAGGGTGGGGGTCCATGTGCCTACTGACTATCCCCCCCCGGGAAAATCCCCTCTGTGCATGTGGGTGTGAGTCATTTTGTAGCGCACGGAGCTCTGGAGGTCGCGCATGTGTCCACGGTTGATTCCTTCAGGAAGACGATCCCTTGGAATGCTTCTGTGTCCGCGGGTGACTCCTGTGCCTAATTCTCAGCCGTTGCCAAAGGCTCTCTGACTGCAGCCTGCTGTGTTTCATAGCAAATGCTGGAGAATTTCCCACCTATTGGCACTTTTCCACTGGCATGTAGGAGCTGAGCCAAACCGCGAAGACAGACTAGTTACAGTGCGGTTCCAGCTCACTTCGGTTTTCCACTGCAGAAGGGTCGGCTCGGTAAAGGCGTCGCTGGGTTTGGAGAGTGACAGTGACATAAACCCGAAGAGACGCTCATTTATTGCTCACATGGTGTACATCATGATTTGCTAAGGGCAATTGTTATTTTCACTGTATGCTAATTTCTGCTAGCACATCTGTGAGAGTCACCGTGTTATTTTAGCAGCAGATGCTAGCAGAATTAGCATTCGCTTGAGTAAATTTTCACTACGAATCCATTCCCTTCATCTGTCCTATAGTACTTTTTTAAGTAGCAAGTTGGAAGTTCGTAGTTATCAGGAAAGTATCAATAGATTGTGATGTGCGATACGACTAATAATGGGTAATAAATCTAATATAGTCTTTTCCTTTCAGATAATCTATGCGTATTGACATGGGACACTAGTATCTCCCTGCGTTGTAAACCAATCGGATGATGTGACGCAACCGGCTCGGTTTGGTCGCGCTTTTAGCTCGCATACATACCATGGAAAATCACCAGTTTGCGGGCTGGCTTGGGTCAGGCTTGGGTACAGCTGGGGTCCAGCTCAGGTCATGGTGGCAGTGGAATGGCTTGGTTCCGGCTCGGGTCGTGGTGGCAGTGGAATGACTTGGGTCCGGTTCGGGTCCAGCTCCGGTCATGGTGGCAGTGGAATGGCTTGGGTCCGGTTCGGGTCCAGCTCCGGTCATGGTGGCAGTGGAATGGCTTGGTTCCAGCTCAGGTCGTGGTGGCAGTGGAATGGCTTGGGTCCGGTTCGGGTCCAGCTCAGGTCGTGGTGTAGTGGGAGTGGCTTGGGTCCATTTCGGGTCCGGCTCGGGTCATGGTGGCAGTGGAATGGCTTGGGTCCGGTCTGGTTCGGGTCTGGCTCAGGTCGTGGTGACAGTGGAGTGACTTGGGTCCGGCTCGGGTCGTGAAAAGTGCCATATTATACTGGGATCACTGTTAAATCTGAAGGTGCTGTCCAGCCCCCAGTAAGCTACCTGGTTATACCTATACATCTGATTATAGCTCTCTCTTGCTGAGCCCCCCTCCCCCCATAATTAATCAGCCTGTCTGCCTCCTCCCCCTGCAGTACTCTCTGTGTAATGAGCCGCTGATCGAGCTCTCCAATCCCGGGGCTAGTGGCTCCGTCTTCTACCTCACCAAGGATGACGAGTTCATCATCAAGACCGTCATGCACAAGGAGGCTGAATTCCTGCAGAAGCTGTTGCCCGGCTACTATATGGTGAGTTTGGCCACGCCCCCCCCCCCCCCCGACAGTGATGGTGTGTGGTACCCCCCAGGACCGTAATGTGCCGTGGCCCGTCAGGGTCAGTACGGACAGGGGACATTTCACTTTAAGGCTGATTAATTCTGCCCGTCACACTCTGAGAGGCTCATCAAACAGAGTTATTTTGGGAGTCTGCTTGCGCCCCCCACCCTGTCCTGCTGCGTCCTGGGGGCTGAGCATGGATATTCATGCTGGCTGCCTGCTTCCCAGGCCGGAGTTTATGTAGAGAGGGGCGTGTCCATGTGTGCAGGAACCGAGAGCGTTCGGCCCAGAACCCGGCTCCTATTGGGTTTCAGGCTGTGCCCGCAGACACAGAAGCTGCTCTCTTTCTCCATCTCCCTCACTTCCATGCTCCCTCCTCCATCTCTTCATTTCTCCATCCCTGTCTCCCTTCCTTTCCTCTCCTCCCCCTCTCTGCTATAGTCTCATTCGCTCCCTTGGGTTTCCTGCTCCTCCCCCGGACGACAGGGTCCTGGGTTCGGAGGGGGGCTACCTATCCTGACCCTGGGGCCCTGACACCTGTATTTCCCCATCTCAGACTCTAGTAGGCGCTGTGCACACCTCGTGGGTTTGTGGGATAGCCATACATCTTTTCTTGTGTGACTTATCTGTTTATCGGTTTGAACTAACTGGCTTACGGCATGACTGATCTCCTATTTATGAGTCTGGATTATTCTGGGATCCATTGTTATGCATTGTTGGCTGGTTAATAATTAATTGAGAGATTCGTTTTTTTAGGTGTAGACTTACAAAGGGCTAATAAAGCTGTTAATAATGAACGATCTTGAAGTCAGCAAACATGTAATTTGCTTGAGGCACCACAGTAGTTCTCCTGAGAGATCCTCTAAGTCTCCTCACTGCCTCCTCTCAGCCTCCACACTGCCTCCTCACTGCCTCCTCTCAGCCTCCACACTGCCTCCACACTACCTCCTCACTGCCTCCACTCAGCCTCCACACTGCCTCCACACTGCCTCCTCTCAGCCTCCACACTGCCTCCACACTACCTCCTCACTGCCTCCTCTCAGCCTCCACACTGCCTCCTCACTGCCTCCTCTCAGCCTCCACACTGCCTCCACACTACCTCCTCACTGCCTCCTCTCAGCCTCCACA